TTCTGTCTTCTTAAGATGTAAATTGAGGTGGGTCCTTACAGTAGGCAGGAATCATTATTCTATTTGGCAAAATGTAATTTAATCTATAGCCAGCCAGTTTGGTGTAGTGGTTAAGACATCAGGCTAGAAGCTGGGAGAATGTGAGTTCTAGTGCTGCCCTAGGCACAAAGTTAAATGGGTGACCTTGGAATAGTCGCTTTCTCTCAGTGCTAGGAAAGAGACAATGGCAAACCATTTCTGAAATCTTGCCGAGAAATCTGCAGAGACTTGTCCACCAGTTTTGAAGAATCAGACACAACTGAAGCAGAAAAAAAGAAAGAAATCTCTATCATAGTAAAATACAAAAATGGAAACATATGAAATCAATAATAACTATTCATAGAATAAATTATTGAAATTAAGGATTGCTCTTAATAAGCGGAGATGCAATGTTTTATTATATTATCATTCTATTGTCATATATTGTCATACAAAAGGAGCTACTAATTACTTGCCCATCCTAAAAAATCCGGAGTTAAACTCTTATGAGGCAATGCTGCTTCTTGTTTTCCCACTTGAAAGAAAGCACACTGTAAGATCAGAATGATCTTATGAAGAAAATTAATCCTAATGGCCTAGCTGAAACTTAAGCAGTGTGATTAAAATGGAGTTACTTGAGCTTTTAGAAGTGCAAGATTGTTGCTTAGATCTCAGACATGTAGCTTGTTCTTAGGAAGTCAGCCGTAACCACAAGCAAAGGAAATACAAAAATAAAGATAGAGCTTATGCTAGCAAAAGTAGGTCATGGTTAATACAACAGGTATAGACACACAGGGTTTTTTCCTGGGAGGGGAAAAAGAAATGTATTTTGTTTAGGCGCTTCGGATTAGCTGATCAGGATGAGCAGGTGGGCTGTTGAGTGCGATAGGGGTGGAGGGGAACCATCTTCATGAGAGGTTATAAATATATGCTTTTTAAAATTGTGTGTGTGGCATTTTCTCCTGTGTGAGTTAAGTTCACCAACTTTTGCAAAAACTTTATACAAATAAAACTTTGTTCTTGGAATTGCAAGTAAGTTTGTTTGTCTTTCGGACCTTGAGCCACGTCCCAGAAAACACACAATTTCAAAAATATAAAGGATCTAAATGCAAAATACAGTACTTCTTTTGAAGTAAATGATGGACTTTTGTAACAGGGCAAAGAGAGCTATCTATTAGAAGAATTTTTAATCTGGAATTAATGTGTATAGAATTACATTATTCCTGTTTGTGTGTGTGTATCTGTGTGTGTGTTTAAAGTCAGTAAAATAAAATGATGAGCTCCGGGATGTAAGAAAAAAAGGCTTCTTTATTGCTAAGCTTTCGTCAACAAGCTGTTGACATCATCAGAGCAAAGGGCTAAATGACAAGGGAGCATGTGCATACATTTACATAACAGTTAAAAATGGTTACAGTATGGCATGTGCATATAACATGCTCATAAAAAGCTTGCTCGCAAAAAGTCACATTGGTAACAGCAAATACATGGAAGTCAGTCTCCAGACTGCGAGCGGGAGAACAGCTTTTGAACCCGCTAACATGCTGACAGGTGCGAGACGATTAAGAGCATTACGGCCGATTAAAGCAAGCAGACCCGTGACTCGCTCAAGGAGCAGGGCGCAGAAGCAGCCGGCTATATAAGTAAAGTCCCGGATCCTTTACTTTCACTCTGACAATGTCAGTAGTTTGGCCGACGAAAGCTAAGTGGTTTTTACATTAAACAGTCTTGTTTATACTTTCATCCTGGTGTTTGATTCTTTCTTTGTTTTCCTAACATGCATACACCCAGGATTCATATTTTTAATGTGATTAAAGACACACACACATATATTTTTGGGATGCGAGGGTGGGCAAACCACTTACATGTTTCACGAGGGCATCTGCTTTCTCTCCCTACAGGTCCAATCCCACAGCACCTGCACGCGATGGAGCGAGACGAACCTCCTAGCTGCACTTCGCGCAAAGAACCCAGCCAGCACATGACTGCATGCGGCCCCATGAGATTCTCGTGCCGAACAGCTGATAGGCATGACGGAGCTTACGCGCCAAACAGCTGATAGGCACGACTTTTGAATTTCATCCGGAGACTGACTTCTGTGTGTATGCTTTTACCAATGTGACTTTTTGCAAGCGAGCTTTTTATAAGCATGCTATACGCACATGCCATACTGTAACCGTTTTAACTGTTTTGTCAGTGTATGCACATGCTCCCTTATCATTTAGCCCTTTGCTCTGATGATGTCAACAGCTTGTTGATGAAAGCTTAGCAATAAAGAAGCCTTTTTTCTTACATCCCGGCGTTCATCAATTTATTTTACTGACTTTAAATGTCCACACCTGGGCTCCAATATTTAAACTTATTAAAGACACACACACACACACACACAAACACACACACACACATACACACACACACACACATATATATATATGTGTGTGTGTGTGTATGCAGTTTCAGAGATATGAAGTAAAGAAAAAGCTGTACAGCTAAATTACACATTAATTTAACTACCATTAAATCTTGTGCTAAGCCAAAGCTTTGCAAAACAAAATGAAGACTTTCAGTTTTTGAAAGCAAGGAAATAAATATTTACATGAGTTGAAGATTTACAACACAGTTCAAAAACTACTCCCACATTCAAGGACAAAATACTTAAAATTGTGTGTTCTAAATATATTTGTTTCATTAATTTTTTGTAAGTCAAGAAAACTAAAATGATAGATACAGAAGAAAAGGAGAACAATGATCCAATTCCTCCATTCTGAACAGCATCCCTAAATGAAATCTATGTATGTTGCAATTAAAGAGCACTATGTCTAATCTGAGTGTTTTCTGAATGTGCTGATTTTAACTTCCAGAATGCTGAGCCATTGCTGCAAATTACAGGAACTGAAGTACATACATTAGGAAGACACCCACTGTGGGATCCTCAGTAAAGCATACTTGTACATAACTATTAAAGTTCCAAATGAACTGTGAAGTTCCTATATAAAAACTGGGCTCAGACTAATACTTCCTGGAAAGCTATCTTTATTCCCACCTGCGTCCACGAGTAAACCTCTTCTGAAACTACAGAAACATTTTAAAGCAAAGAGTGATGTTATTGTGATTCAAAGAAAAAAGCAAAAAACCACTGGAGATGCAGATGTCTCTGAGTGTGGTTTAAAACCAATCTCTATACTTCAGCCAACAGATCATGACCCTGGCCAAGCACTTTGTGTTCTACAGAAAGCAAACCCTTTTTCTAACATACAGTTTGAATTGTTTCATTCCATTAAGGTTTAATGCTACTTTCCACAATACGTTTTTGCCCCAGTGTTTTAGGACTATTATTCATCATATGCAACTCCAAATAATAACTAGAATAAGTGATAAATTTTCTGCAATAGCTTTACCAGTATGAATTGAACTGTAACATTATGTGACCTAGCTGTTGAATTATGAAAATAGTAATCAGTACAGTAAATTGAAGAGGAAAGGTAATCTGTAACTCATGAGCAATATGTTTTCACAATGGACTGCTATAAACCATGAACAAATTTAAGCATCCCAACTGTAATTTATATATACTTATACCAATTTGTAAAGTATTCTCATTCCAGAATAAAACTAGATCCTTGTCACTTTTATTATCAGTCTTATGACATATATGTGAAGAATGATGAAAATATTTTTGCATTACTAAGGAATAAAGAACTAAGAGTATACATAGGATATTTTCTAGTCATGCAAAAGAGATTTAATACATAGATACCACTACCAGTAATGAACGAATAGCACTTTTTATGCAGGAAACACTATTTTACCATTAGTTTGCTGCAAATGGATGCAATTTATTAAACTTTGGTTGTCATTTTTTTCTAAAAAAATCCATAAATTACAAAAATTGGTCAGTTTATGTTTCAAGAGTTGAGATAAAGTTATTAATCTAAGCTATTACCAAATTTAAAGAGACCTCTCCCCCACAAAGCTTTTAAAATACATTTTTTCATGTATACAAATGAGACTAGATGAGAAATAGGCCAATGGGGATTATTAAACTAATAATTCAAACTCAAAAAAGAAACATAGAGGTATGGAAGTGGGGAAATGTCTGTGGACACTGAACCTTGAAAAAAAATCCTTTGAATTTTACATTTAACACAATTACTATAATTTTCTGTACTACAGAAAAAGATATTTATTTATAAACAGTGAAGCTTGCATTGAATTGGCTGTATTTCATAATCTGCTTATCATGAGAAAGTACTTTTAGATCTATCCTTAATGATTAATATAGCAGGGAGTTTGATTAAATCAGCATTAATCAATAATAATTACAGTTGTTGTGGCATCTTCTTTTACAGAGATGAGATTAACAAGACCAAACAAAGATGTAGAAAGATGACAGATGGGGGAGAGAGAGAAAGAAAGTGTGAGAGGGAGAGAAATAATTAACTCCATAATCAAAATGTAGCAAAATGTTGAGCTCTGGGCAGGAAGATGAATAGAGAGGTGTAAGTGGAACAAATTGAAACTAATACTTGCCAGAATTACTGTCAAATGTCAAGTATGTTCAAGAAATCTGGTCTAATGCAGAACATAGCTGATAAGGAGAAATGTCAGCAAGAGGAGAAGTGCAAAATGACATTTCAAGGCTTCTCCCATCCCAAATTTCTTAAAAGTCCTATAGGCACACATACCATGCAAACAAACATAAAATAAAAAAATCTGCACTATGTACTTTATATATAACATTATACATGTGTTGAATATTTTATTTTTTCTGAAGCCTGCTTATGTAACATGATTTTTCTTTCTTTGATCTTCTCTGCAGTCTTCCTCCTGCAAATCTTCTCTATGCAAACTTCTATTCATTTTTAGCATACTTTAATCTGAAGGTGGCTATAGAATGAAAAGACAACTGGCCCTCTCTACTGTGCTAATAAATACTCTTCTGTGGGTGGGAGGGATTAATAATATTAGGATGAAAAATTCCATACCTGCTTTGTAAATCATGAAGATGTAATTCACCTACATAATGAGTGGCTGATGAGAGGGTGACAATCCGAGCATTGTGGCTATGTGTTCCTGATTGCTTCAGTGTATCCAATAAGAGATTTGTCAACAAGAAATGTCCCAGATAGTTAACACCAATGTGCTCTTCAAACCCATCTTCTGTCTTCTTTTCAGGTACCAGCATCACTGCAGCTGAAGAGTTGAACAATAAAGTGAACTTTGTTGGATAAATGCCTGATTTTGTTTCATATAGCCAAGTAAAAATTTAAGAAAACTCTTGTATTCTTTCCCTATGGCAGCCAATGTACCTCACAGAAAGTCCATAAGCAGGACATCCATAAAGCAGCAGCAACTCATTTTCAACTATCTGAGTATCACAATTAAAATAAGGCATACCATATGACATAAAATTTAAATATAAAATAGAAGATTAAACAGATCTTGCCCAGAAACTAGCAACATTAATTGCATTCTACCGTGCTGCCATGAGGTCAAGTGTACACTGATGGGGGCACAAAGAGCAGGTATACATATGTGTTGTTGTCTGCATGTCACCACAATCACAAAGAGCAGAAGCAACTGGATAGCCCCATTTGTTCAGAGTATCTCTGGATCTTGTTGTACTTGTGCACAATCTATTGAATGATTTCCATACTTCCCAGTTGTTTTTTTCCTACAGATCCATCAGGGGTATAAAAAGTCAATTTCTATACAGAGAAAATAACTGACCAAGGCTACCTCCACAGAAAAACAAATAAAAGCTAAGGCTAGCAAACCAAGACAGAAGAATGGTGGATTTGTTTTATGCAGAGAAAGGCAATTAAGAAAAATATTTGTCTAAAAATTCATGACCGAATTTGCAGCAGTTTTATGTGCATATTTGTTTGTGGTGAGAGAATTTTCAAAATGACCTGGTTATTCTGTTGTGGAAGTAATTCAAGTGGTAACACCTAGTATATTTATAAATTAAGCAATTAAAGATTCAAGTGCCAAATATAGAAATTAATTTAAAGATGTAGCAGAAATATTCATTATTTTTATTATTTGAAAATGCAGAATATTTAGAGAGAGAAACTTAGTGGCTGTAATGGATTGTGTGGGTGACCTTGGGGAATGAGAAGAAGACATGCTGTCTAGGAAACAATCAGACAAGAGAGGCAGAAGCCCCCAATAGCTTAAGAGCTAGGAGAGAGGAAAAAACTAAAGAAGGACTCACCCTAATGAATCAGGCAGTTTAAAGTGATGTGAGAATTTGTACTTTCAGACTTGCAAGTTCCTATTATTGTAACCTTACAGTAAAGTAGAATTAGTTCATCTAGTTGTGTGTCTTGTCTGGTTTACCTGGGAGACAATAGCCCAGTTGTTTAAATCAGGCTTCTCAGTATGGTTCATGGGGAAAAAAAACATCCTCAAATTGATGAAATATCTGGAAACTGCTTTTAATTTATTACAGTTGTATAATAGATCTGTAGGGTAGTTTAATACCATTGGGTAATGTGTTTTCAATCACAATATGAGAGGATACACTCATTGAAGCTGGAATTTGAAAGCACTATATAAATGTCACAGATGAGCTTTTCATAACACTCAGGCTGACAATGTCCAGAACAGGGCGGGTTATGCAAGATACATTCTAATATGCAGAATGCAGTCACTGGAGCAATACAGCATTTAACTTCTTAAAGGCAACCTTATTCTATACACATGATCAGCAGTTAAAAATGGCACGACTGGTCAAATATTCAGTTGGGTCATGTATTTTCTTTCCCAAGCTTTCAGTTTGAAAGGCAGATTATAGTTTTGGAACTTTTATAGCGGATATCCCTCAGATATCAATTTCTCAGTCATATTTTCTTTACTTTTTATACACTTCCCTTGGTTGCCCTGATTCACAATCAGATTTTTCAATGTCATTGTTACATTGTTGAAACCCAGATCTATCAGATTTTAGACCTGGCAGTCATTATGTAGTCCATAATGATGGTGCATGATTGTGACAGTATATTTTATCAGTATTCCACCTTGGAGATTCATTTATCAACTACAAGTGAAAATAAATAAGAAGTATAATATTATATTCTCATTGTCTGTTGTGTTTCCTCTTCTTTATCACCAAGCCTGGCACATTGTTTAAGCTTCTGCTGCTCACAGTCTTGATTGATGTTCAGTTGACCTTATATCCATGAACTGATCTTACAGTGAGGCCTGCAAATGTTCATCTTACACTAGAAGCTTATGCATAGATTACTGTATCAGGATTCCTGATTCCTTTTTCCAACTCTATTTAAGCTATTCTGGATCTTCTATGTTATTCCCATGATTTATAATATCACGAAGGCTTTAGTGGCTCCCAATCTGTCAAGCTCCACACAGGTAGGTCAGATCAAGGAATGCAAGATTACACATTTATTGAATGCCCCTTTGGGAATAAATACAGAATCTTGGAAACTGCAAATTACGGTAATTTATAGTGAAGGTGGAGTCTCTTTGAATTACTTGAAAAGCTTCTTCCTAGCTTTCTTGATATGAATTGTCATTTCTAATATAAACTACCAATGGATTTTCCTTTTATTGCTTGCTTACATCTACTCTTCTTTCCACTGTTTTCTATAACCTCTCACAGTATCTGAACTAAGCCATGTTGTCTTTGGAATCTTCCATTTGCAAAAATTCAGATATGGTTCTGCTCTTTTTCTTTCTACGGTCTTGCTCATCCATCATGTTCTTCTGGTTGATCATCTTTCTGTTTCTTCTTCTAGGGTGTTGGTCTCCAAAATCTAGACTTTAAGGGATCAGAACCTTGACTCATGATTCTGGAATAAGATCCATCCTTCTTTTTATCTCAATGAAAATATAATGCCCATTATTTTTTCCAGAAATAAATTAGTATGGAGCTAGTCTAATTTTTAGGTTAATATTTGTTTTATATTAACTATGGACATACATGCGTTCTCCAGTATTATAGACATTAAAATTGCACAGTCATTGTTTAATTGTAAATATTAGTTTTACTGATTGGATAAGTTAATTTTATGGAACAGAAATTAATAACCAGTGGGGTTTTTTTCCCAGAACTGCATTGTGCCTTGGTGAAAGTGCATAATAAAAAAATATTATGAGAGGATTTTTTTCTGCCATATGTTTTCCCATAGCAGCTTGGGAAGAGATGCCAAGTATTAAATTTCAGTAATAGTCCAAGAAAGTGTTTTGCTATTAAGTGCCTTAAGGTTGATCAGCCAAAAACTGCACTGAAAATAGTGAAACAAGTAAGTGTAGTCAGTACATTTGAGGATTCAAAAACAATAGGCTCAAATCAAGGTGTTTATTTATTGTAGCAAAGTTATATAGCTGAAGATATCTGATCATGTCCTTTAGATCATCAACAGTCTGGAGCCAGCTGTGTAGCATTTTCTCAGGCTTTTAAGGTCTCAGATCAAAGTATTTAGTTTCTTTAGCTATCTTTTTATATGTTTTTATAAGATAGGGAGTATAAACTTATCTGGAGGTGATTTGGTGACACTCTTTATCTGTGGCCTGGTCACAATACAGATAGTTGACCTACTGCCAGAGGTATTTTTAAGACATTATCTTGTGCTCCAGCACATAACCTCCAAAAATTATCTTATGACTTTATCTTGTAAATAACATGGAAACCCAGGAAGTTGACCCTCTGCCAAAGATAAGCTTATATGGCACATTATTTCCAACAGATCTCTGTTTTCCCTCCGTTCTAAAAGTGTCAAATTAGGAAACTGGTGTTTTTCTCATTATCTTAATTATTACAAACAGAATACACATAAAAGGCACAAATTGAAAGTGATTACATACAGAAGAAAAGTGAACGTCGCGGCAGTATGACGCATCCTTTGGGGGCTCCTGAAGGATCGTCGCTTTTCAGCTGTTTGGGGAGGTCTGCCTGGGTTCCAGATAGACTGGAGCCGTCCTGTAGGGACGGTGAAGAAGGGAAGCATAGTTTGGCGGCACAGGAGGGAACGCAATCTCCTGGAGAGCCAACGGGAGCTTCCCAGACCAGCAGCTGTCAGATGGCCATTGCGAGCTGTCACACGCTGGGCGGCCACTTGGAAGAATCAGAAAACAAAATTAGAAGATTGCCTGGGTGAGATGATTAAGAGACTGTAAAAGGGAAAAAACTTTCTTAAATGCTGGAAATTGCGGGGGAAAATAAGAATTTGAAGCCGTAGAGAAAGGGGGGGGAGTGGACTTTTAAGCTTCTTCTCTTGCGGAATTGTAGCTGCGAAAAAAGCGGAAGGCAAAAGAAGGCAATAAATCAATGTAGAAATAGTGTGGAATTTGAAAAGCCTGTTGAAAATAACTGGATTGATGGAACTGATTTGAGAGTAAACGACTGCTGGAGGTGTAGATTATCCTTTTTTAAGTGAGTTGCCTCTTTTTCTTTGCATTTTTTCTTCTTGTATTTGGCTGGGAGTACTTTGGAAGAGAAGACTAAGTGACCTTGAAAAACACCTGCTGGACTTACTGATAAGAAGTTAGACATTGATTGCATTTATCACAGAGACTGTTTCTCGTTTTGGTGAATGGTGGATTGTTTCACAGAGGCTTTATTTTCGATCTCCTCTTTTTTTGGATTAAGGCACAAAGAGCCTGAAACAAAGAAGTCTTAAGTATATTGGCTTTTTCCTTTTCCCTTTTTTTATATCCTTCCTTCTTTTCCCTTTTTTCCTGCCTTTGGATTTTTGATGTGGGATAGTTTTCTCATTTTCATCTCTTTTCTCTCCTTCTTGGAACATATTTGGATTATAATATTTCATTGATATTTGGATTAGAAATCATTGGAGAAGATGAAGAAGATTACAACACATTTAACAACAGCCGCCTCAACATTACAGAGCCTTGTGGCGCAGAAAACACTGGACTCCACAACACAGCAAGGTAAGTTTAACATGGAATTGAAAAATATGATACAGGCACTACACATAGACTTCAAGGAAGGGAAAAGCAAACTAGAAGTGGAACTAAAAGAGGTTAAAGAACTGATGGGGAAAAATAAACAAAGATTGCAACAAGCAGAAGGGAAAATTGAATCAACAGATAAGAGAGTAGAGGAGATGGATAATCGACTTACATTAATAGATAGGAATCAGGAAAAAATGATTATCTCTCTAGAGATGGATAGAGCTGATTATCACTTAAGATTCCAAAATGTTGAAGAA